GAAGTGGCGCTGTGGCTCAAGTGGTAGAGTGCTCGCCTTGAGCTGAGGAGCTGAGGGACGGCGCCCAGGCCCAGAGGTCAAGCACTATGACCAAAAAAAAAAAAAAATGTACAAATGAGGCTGTGTTAACTTCTCCTCCCCTACTCCAAGAAAAGGAAAACAAAACAAAGTTTGCTGAAAACAAAAACAACAATAGTCTTAAAAAATCAACAGGGATTGGGGGCATAGCTCAGGTGGTAGAGTGACAGCCAATGAGCATAAGCTTCAGACACCAAGTTCAAGTCCTGGAAAAAAAGAAAATCAAGTCCTCAAAAAAAAAATAATTAAGCTTGGGGCTGGTGGCTCAGGCCTGTAATCCTAGCTACTCAGGAGGCTGAGATCTGAGGATCACAGTTCACAGAAAGCATGGGCAGGAAAGACCCTGTGACTCCTCTCTCCAATAAACTGCTCAGAAAAAGGTGTAAGTGGCTAGCAGTGAGCAAAAGAAGCTTGGGGACAGTGCTTTGTCTCAGAGTTCAAGCCCCAAGACCAGAAAAAAAAAAAGAAAAAGAAAAAAAATCAGGTCCTGGTCTTGAGGGGGAACAAAACAACAACACTAAACTAAAAAGTCAACACTCAAATAGTTAAAAAAATACATTTCACTTAACTGTAGAACCAGCTCCAGAAAGCCCCAGGAGTAATTTAGACAAATCAACAGAGAGCTGTTGCAATGGGACTAGTCTGCAGACCATCTGAATCTACCCCTGGAGTGTTGGAGACACACCCACTTGTAGTTGAGTGGAATGTTGTTGGGTTGCCACAAAAACAGATCCCTAGCAACCAGGATGAATCAGTCAGAAACTGGATGACAGAGGAGGATTTAATGTAAAAAACCAGTGTGTGGGTGGCTGGTGGAATGTGAGGGGTTAGGTTTCCCCACCAAAGCCTGTACTGTATTATCCTAGTGACTATAATCCACTAGCCCACACTGAAATTTTAACCACCACCACCCCCAAAATAAAAGCATGAATGAGGAAACGGGAGTTCCCACTGTACTCCACACGCTGCACCCTCCTCCTAAATCATCTGCATTTAACAGAACCCTCTTGAAAGCACATACTTTTCTCCTTGGTTTTATGGCTCTGATTAATAATGCCTGAGTCACATTCCCCAGAATTCCTGGAATTCTGCCCAGTGGCCTTGATCAGACCAGGCAGGAGGCCCCCTTGCAACACTTGCTCTAGCTTATCCCTTTGCTGCCCGGGCTGCTCAATCAGTATTTGTGTGCTTCTAGCTCCCCGAGCCTCTCGCCTCTCGCTGCGGGTCTCCCAATACAGGGTTGGAGTGGGTGGAAGAGAGTGAAGTCACTTGGCATGAAGCACTTTCAGTGTTGGGAAATACAATTACAGTGCCTTGTGACCCATATGTTGGGCTCCTCCACCTACTGAAAAAAAAAGTTTAAATTCAGCAGTCAAGAGCTGGAGTTACCTACCTGTCCCCAAGCACCTTCTGTGTGCACGTGTATGCTCATGTGTGTATACACACGCAGTCAGATTCGACACTTAACTCACTTCCATACACACACAGCGCTGAGCCCTGTCACTTCTCCAACTCCTTTTCATGAGGCTCTGTCTTGATCAGTTAATGAACAAGTGAGAGATCTGGCTACAGAATGATACAACCGTGTTTTCTCTGTCTCTCTCCCTCCTTACCCCGCGCTCCTGTGATCTCTCTGAGTCTGGGAAACCTCATGGGAGAATGTATAAAGGCTCTTGTCTCCTCCCACAGGTTTTATAGCATACTCATTCCTGTCTCCTGACTCAGAGGTCTGAGCACAGTACTTGGCACACAGTAGGCATTCAGTTGCCACTTAAGGATGGCTTGTACACACTGGGTCTTCCCCACCCCACCCCTTTTTTTGGTCTCTTTTGTTGTTGTTGTTGTTTTCCAGCATAGTTTCTATGTTCAATTTTCTCTCCCTCACACTGAGTGTTTCAAATGCAGGTATAGATCCACCTATTTGGAGGTTTCCAGTCCTCACCCCTGTATGTCTTTACAAAGCCTGGCAGATTACTGTTCATCAGACTCAGCCTGTGCCCACCCCTCTCCCTCCCTACTGCCAGGGCTGCTAGGGTCTGAAAGTAGCCACCATGAATGAGCAGGGAGGCTGGCTATGAGAAAGTCAGACTTCAAGTAGCCCTGGATCTCTGATTTCCTCTTGAGTTCTGAGTGTGTAGTCTGGGTATGGTAAGCAGAGGATGAGGACAAAGGGATCTATGTCACAGCCACTCCTTAGAGTCAGAGCATTGTACATTATGCTTGTGGTGAGAACTCAGACCATTTGAGTGCCCTGGGTGTGTGCCCTGACAAGGCTGAGCTCAAATGGCCAAACAGTTCCAGAACGTTCCCCTAAAAGGGCCACTTGGAGGTAACCTCAGTGGATCTACCCAGTCACAAGTATACAATCTCCTGACCCTGGCTTGATGACCTGTCATCTCAGCAAAGTGGAGGAAGACTATCTCGGGCAGCTGAAAAAGGAAAAATATACCCAATAGTGAATGGGCGGAAAGAATGTGTTGTTTTTTTTTCTTAAAAGAACTGGAATTTCCTCTAGTGTCCCACAACTAGAAAAGGGTGTGGCATCAGGGGAAATGAAGGAAGATGACGCTCATGTGCAAAAAATAAAAATATCCTTCTTTAAATTTTCACAATCAAATCTGGAAGGCAGATTGTCTCCATAACTATACACAAAACATTTTTAGGCTAGACCAGGGTGGGGTGAAAGGGAGGGGGGGGAGAGAGAGAGAAAGAGAAAGAAAGAGAGAGAGACCAAGAGAGTTCCCTGATGTGTCCCCCAGTATCTTTAACTGTGACTGGAACATAGTGGGTGCTTAAGTGGTATTTCATAGGACACATAAATGTTTAAGTAGCCCAGAGAGCCTAGGACTCTTCTTTTGACACACCCACCCTACTTCTAATTAAAAAAATACAAGTCCCCAGTAGGCCCTCTATCTGCATCAGCAAATTGAGAGCAGTCTTCCCCTTTGCCTAAGTGCCCAGATTCAGGGCCAAGGCTGCCTGAAGAGTCCACAGCCCTCAAAATCAATAGCAATTTAGAAGAGTATCTACCTTGCCAGGAAAACTACTTAAATCAGAAATTAGCCAGGAAACCCATGGCTACGACTACCAGCCTAATGTCAGTCACTAAGACACTTTAATAGCTCCAAGACACAGGATGTTAAATATTGAGACTCCCGTCCAAGATTGGGGGCTGGTGAAAGTCAGTGAGTCAGCAAGCGCTCCCTGGACGTCCCCAAGGAAGGAAGAAACGCACTTTGATGGCCACACCTTCCACTGCAGATGGACGGAGCGTTTGAAGCAGCCCTTGAACTTTGAGATAATAGGTGGACTGGAAGGAAGGGAGGAAACTGTTAAGCAAGGATGTGGTCTGACGTGGTTAGCCCTGGTGTCTCTCCAGCTCACCTTCCCTGAGTCCTATAGCTCTTCGATTCAATAGCTTCAAATTCTATAAATAACAGGGTAGTACTACTTCTCTGGTCCTTCCTCTTTTGCCTTCTCCTCCATCCTCCCTCCTCACCCCCAGTATTGGGGCCTGAACACAAGGCCTTGTGCTCTTACTTGGCTTTTCCACTCATGGCTGGCACTCTGCCACTTGAGACACACCTTACTTCCGGCTTTTTGCTGGTTAGAGACAAGAGTCTCTAGGCTTTGTTGCTCAGGCCGTCTGTGAACCCTGGTCCTCAGATCTCAGCCTACGTTTGGATTTCAGGCTTGGGCCACGGGTGCCAGGCTAAATGATACTCCCTTCCCCCTTAGATGGCGCTTTTCAGGGTTGCATATTCATTTTCGATTGGTTGTTTTTTCTGAAACCTTCTAGTAATAACCCTACTTGAGTGGAGGTAAGAATGGGTCTCCTGAAGCCACTTGTATTGGTCCAGAAAGTTAAGAGATCCCCAGCCCTCGGGGCTCGCCATCTGGAGGTGCTTACCCAAGGGGGCCACGCCCTTTTCAGGCCCCTCAAGTCCCTGACTCAGTTTCCCACCAGCTGGAGTTGCAGTCACGCCACCCTTCCCCCAGAGACTCACACCAATGTCCAGCCACCAAGAGTGGCCCGGGGCGTGTTGTTGTTGTTGGGGGGGTACCGTGACTATTCAAATATCCAACTACTCACCTTCCCCTTTGACTCTTCCCAGGCTGGTCGATGCAAACCACCGAGGCCAGTATACTTGGGGGTTCACAGGGGGGTTACTCTCCCCCCACACACACACTCCCGGGGCTGGGGAAGGCCCGGTAAATCAGGGCGTGTGGATGAGAGTGCCCACAGGGGCTCCAGGGGCGGCCACACCCAGCTCCCCTCCCGCCGGCGCCCAGCACGTCCGGAATACCCGGGGGTGGGGGTGGGCTCTCCCTGCAGACCTCCCTTCTCAGCCCCCCCCTTCCGGGGTAGGCACCCCCCCTAGCCTAGCCACAGGCGGTCCCCCCCACCTCCACCCCACCATTCCTGCCCAGGACACCTTGGTTGAGCACACCTACTTTTTGGGGTGTCCTTCCGGGACCCCCCCTCTTCAGGGCCCTGTCACCCGATCCCCTCTCGGCAAGGCACGTTCGCTCCTTCCCGACCTCCCCGAGGCCATAGCGGGCGGGCGGGCCGCACCCCGCTTACCTGGGCCGGGCGCGCACCGAGAGCAGGAAGCGTCCCCAGTTGCCGAGCAGAGTTGGCCGGCCTGGGTGGGGCTTTTATCCCCGCCACATCCTCTTTGTGCCGGCCCACCCCGC